TGACATGGAAGCACTCAAAGTGCTCTAATTCCTGTCCCTCTCATTGAGCTGCTGCCAAAGTCCCACCATTAACTTGGATTTCTCCGACTCAGCAGGTGTAGAGGAACGAGTCCCAGCTATAATCAGCCTCAGCCATCCAGTGTTTGATGCAGCCTGCTAGGAAACTGACTAAACAAACTGTATTAATAGCTCATGCTGCAGCCATGACTCTGGAATCTGAGGCTTGAATTGCCAGAGGGTAGGGGAGACCCCACAAAAAGAAAAAAAAGTAAAGGAGGGGGACGGAGACGGTGAAATAGTGAAAGAAAGAAAGAAAGAAAGAAAGAAAGAAAGAAAGAAAGAAAGAAAGAAAGAAAGAAAGATGCAGTCAGCAATTGGTTGAGTCAAGGATCAGGGTATTTGCTGGATCACAGGTGAGGTCTTTAGGCAAGGCTTTAGAGACCACTGATCTATGCTGCAGCTGGGTGTGTGCAATAGCTAATATGTATTTATGTAAGCAAAGTGAACATGAGATTTGGTAAATGGAACAAATGAAATCCTATATCCATGTCTGCATAACTAACAAGGCCTAAAAGCTAAACCCATGCCAAACCAGCAGACAATGCAGGACAATACAGGATGGACCCAAGGCACTTTTCTAAAATTAAATCAAAAACACTGTGCTGATGTGATTCCTGGTCGGCAACTTTTACAAGCACTTGCCGTGAGGTTCTGGTTCTATAACTAGACATTCAAAAGAAAAATATCATGTCATTTGATGTTTTGCTTTTCAACTAAAGTAGAGCCAGTGCAGCCTCAACCTGGTGCTAAATCATCAAGTCTATACACTTAATGCTCAACAGCATTATCAGTCCAATATTGAATTTACAAACCAAAATAAAAATATAGACTTTAAATCACTGACATCACTAACAGTGATTCATATACATATATACAGTATATGTGTGTGTGTGTGTGTGTGTGTATATGCGTGTGTGCGCGCAAGATTAAATTATTCACCATGTAAGTAATGTGATGACATTTAAGTTGCAGTCAAATGCATGTCATTAGTGTGGGTCAAAATGTTTGGTTGGACTAAACAGACTGCAGTTTTCTCTGGTGTAACAGTTCTCTATGTGATGGAATGAAGTATAACTCTGCCAAAAACATGACCTACATTCCTAACGAAGGTGTTGACATGCATGGGGATGCGGATCCTGGGGCGTTCAGCAGCTCGAATTGCAATACTATGGATATCATTATTACTTGAGACTTTGAATTCTTTTGAGGCTCTCCTTGCAGATCCAATTTATCATCGCATAATATTCTACCGCCAAAAAACAGAGAGGCAAATATTTTCCCTGAGGTTTCAGACATGTAAAAAAAAAAGGTCAGTGTCACACTGAAATCCCAAAGTCCTGCAAACTTTAGTTCCTTCTTCCAGACAACGTTGACTGGCTTGAAAAAGTTGGTCTTTCTTAGCCTCCATTACCCTCTGGCTATGTACGGGCACACTTAGCCCTGCCTTTTCCCGTAACAAGACCGCCTTTTCTTTTCAGCAATTGGCTATAAGCACGCCAGTCAACTGCATCTAATGCATGCAACGCTTTAGACCCTGTCAATAACATCGACTGGTTGGATCTTATTGGTTACAAACCTGAAATCAACTTTTTGTATCCACGCAAAACTAATGGCTAGCTGGCGTGGCTAGCGTTTACAACAGGCCGAATGCACGTTCAAAGTGAGTAATAACAGCGCTACTACCAGTCTCTGCGATGACAGCGAACACACATTAACACAAATTTAATTACACCCGAGGTGAACTGGCATATTTTAAAGACATTACAGACTACCACAATCAGAAAAGTAGAAAAAAGCTAGCAGTTGGTTGGTTAGCGGACTGACACTTGAGTGCAAATCGAGACACTGGGTCCGAATGAAGCGCAGTAGCTGCCACAACAGTTTTGACAATTAAATAGACGCGTAGTTTTAGCAACAACAAACACTGAAAACTGTCGCAGAGGGTGCTACGTTGTCATAGTTTAGTGCAGTCGACATATCTATGGAGAATTTCAAGGGTAATAAAGTGTTTACAAACTCACCCTTGCGCCCCTCTCTCTGGCTCCCCTCTCCTCTCTCTTGGAATTTGACACTCCCCTCGGCGACGTCGAATTATCGCGAGAATTGACAACGGTTAGGGCTAGACGTTTAAAATATGGCCTAGACATTGAGAGCAGGCACTCTTGATTTCGGACGAAAATTTAACGACTTTCTTTCGTTTTTGATATTTTCAAATTGAGGAGATTGGAGCTACAGGAAAATACTAACCTCGACTAATCCAGGCTGTGGATAAAAACACACCAGTTGTATCCACTCAGCGTTTGGCAGACATGTCAAAATTTACGATTGCTCTGTTGCTATCAAAATATGTAACTCTATCTCAGTGGAGAAGCACAAAAGTGTGGGCCCTGCATATATGCAACCCCGGTGTGTGCCCTTCCCCTTTTTCATACATGCACTGTCACAGCTGTACAAGTAAGCAAGTAAACATCTCATTAGAGTCATCAGCAATAACAGATTTTAAAAAGTCTTTTTACAACATTACAGAACATTGCACTATGTATCAGTGGCCACTTCAGCCGGGCCATAACATATATCTTTACCAAGTTTATAATGTTCAGTTTTTGTTGAAATTGTCAGAAATAGAATAATGTATATGGATTATAATTATTGATGCATTACATCGCTTTAATGTGTGCATCTAGTGGACCTAATTTGAATTAAATATTGTCAGTAGCTTGTGAATTTCACCCCAACAATCAATAAAGTCTTATCTTAATCATTAATCATAAATAGTCGATTATTTATTGATTAAATTCCATATCATTATTTTAATATATGCAAAGTAACTAAAGCTGACAAATAAATATGGCAGAGTTAAATGTACACTATTTGAGTGGAACTATTTGACTAGTTGAGTGGAAGCATTCAGTAGCAAAACATAGACCTAAAACTACTCAGAAGTGCCTAGGAATTGCATTTAAGAACAATCCACACAGAATAAGAAAATGTTGTCAGTGATGTAGATAATGTGTATTTATATTGATCTTTTTTCTTCAGAGGCTCATTAGAAGCTGAAGTTGTCATTTAAAACTTTAAAAAGTACTCTCCAACAGGATCCACATAGAATCAGTGTGCCATTTCTTAAAAGTGATTGTCCATGTATGTTGTTTTGTTATATTATAGGACATAAGTAATTAAAAATATTATATATCTGTTTGTTTTGGAGCTTATTGTCTTTTAAGTTATATCTATTATTAATATGTAGTTATTTTGTCTTTTTCAATTTACAGTAAGTGGTTAAAATCATATTTAGTGTCCTTCCTCTTAAAATCCCTGTTCGAACTGCTGTTGCATGTAATGTCCCAGATCACGTGATAAAAGTAGCCTGTTGAAACTACTGTATGAACATATGAACACAGAAAATAAAGGCGGCGTCTTCCCCTCATGCTTTGTTTTTTGTTTCCTTCCTGATATTCTCACCCTATTCTCTCTCCTTGGAAGTGAACGTCCTGACTGTTGAGGCACGTGGCAGCATCGTGTACAAACCTAACACAATAGGCAAAAATATACAACATACATACATGAACATGTGATCATGCCAATTTTATGTTTGAAAATGCATAAATCATTAAAGATGAACAAGCTGATGTAATCCACTGCGATTATTACTTCTACAAATTGCACTGAACACCTCATCTCAGATGCTATCGTAAAAGCCAACTGGTGTGAATTCAGAGACTAAGTTAGTGAGACCCCCAATGGATGATTTGAGAACTGAATGTGCTTGAGTTAGCTTTGGTGAGCTTTTAAGAGATGGAAAGGGGCTGTTGGCCCAGGAAGATTTAGTTCACCGCTGTTTCCACAAAGTAAATACATCTTTCACAGCATCAAAAGACACTGCACTAGTTTAATTTTCACTGTCATGCTCTTGTATGTATGAAATTGGGCACGACTCACATGACCATTTTAAATTGCACATCTGTATCTCAGTGTACTTTAGACCCTGATGAAAACTCTTTGAGTCGAGGTGTATTTTTTTCTGATTTATCCATGATTGAATAAGAGGTTTTTAACTTACAATAAGAGTGCCTTGGATTTGCTTTAGACTTCCAACCAATACCAAGAACTTTCCTCAAAAAGTAAGATTGTTTTTTATTTTCACAGCTCTAGCTAACAGTTCTGACTGTATATTATGTACAGTATATACATATCTATTATGTGGTTTCTCATATTTGAGCTCCTCTGGGCCTCTCATTGTAATGACAGTGATTCTGTCTAATGAGTGCAGTAAAACTGTAATTACACAGGCACTGAGAGATCACAGCTGCATTCAGTCCTGACCGCTAATGAAGTTTCACACAGTTTAACTGCAGTCTAGCCTTTTCTTCACTAGGTTACTATACATGCCGATGTAAAAATTTTAGACCCAGGAGTTACGCAGACATCCAAACATTGCCAATATGTCCCTTACAGATGCATGTCAGCTTCTAATCCCAAAGAATTGAGCCTGGACTATTTGTTTGGTAATCAAAAGAGGGAGGCTCCATCACATGTATTTAAGGTGTTGGTATTAGGCCTTTCTCGTGGAAGACATTTTGACATGTCACAAGAAAAGCACAGGGGTAAATGATAAAATGAATCATTGCTGAATTCCTTTTAGCTGCTGCAATTTCTGGCTCCTGGTACTGTGCATGCTGCCTCACTGTCACTGGCTCACTGGAATATAACAGAGTCATTGTTAATTACCGACACTGTCTGCTTTGAAAAAGGTCTATGCAAATAAAACCATAACGAGTCCGGCCAATAACATGAATGTGACACAGTAGGGTTACACAGCCTACTACAGTTGAGTTTTTAAAGTAGAAGCACCTACTCATGATTTGATAAATGTATTCTGTAAGTTAAACAACTTATGATTTCACACTTTTTGTAAATAATAATGGCAAGAGAAAAATGAATGGAATATAAAGGCTTTTTTTTTTTTACTTTCATTAGGTTGACAAAGAAAAAAGCACTTTTGCAGGTGCACACAAGACATGATCTAAGGGGTTCATTTTTATACATCTGCAGAACAAGCAAACAAAATCAAACACAGAAATGGTAAGAGTCCAGACAAATACCATAACAAACTTAAATACATTTTGCAAGCATATTTAGTGAATCTTTTCAAGGACAAAAACTTAGTAATCATGCCAGTTTATGGTTCTAACATTTAAACATTTAATTTAAAATAATCTTTAAACATATGCTGCAAAATGTTGGACCTGTGAGCACCCTTGAAAACCCAAACTTCTGCAAGTTAAGACTGGAAACACACATTGTAAAAAAAACAAAAAACATTTTATTCCTCCTTGGCAACTGCAACTGCACCCATCATTAAAACAAAGCCCAAATAAATATTAAATCACATATGATAGCAGGCATGTTGATGTCACTTTCATGAGCGATGAACATGATGGAGGCAGGATAAATGTGCCCATCACATTTTGTGAAACCTATCTGTGAGTCCAATGATATTCTGAAACTTTTTTGTTGCCTCTATATGACAAATAAAACTATTTTTTTCTGTTCTGGTCAAAGTGTGTTTAATTTTTTTTTTCCCCTTTAATAAAATGCAGCAGTGTTGAATTGTACGGTGGTAAAATGACTGCTCCGTGAGTTCATTGGGACGTCACTCAGAGAAAGATGGCCACTCCAACTATCAGACAAACTACTTGACATTTGCTTCTCATCACTACTTCAGGAACTGCATACTCTGACTGAATTACTGCGCAGCCTGCATTATTCCACATTAGCCCCCATTCATAAACTTAAACTCTGAAATCTGAATCTAGTCTTTAAATCTAATCTTACAATGAGCATGTCCTTATTTTACCACCAAATTCAGTATTTAACAAGATTTTCCTCATCCTCTGTGACAAACAATAATAGCATTTTTTCATTATATTCAAGTTTTAAAATTTAACATTCAATACCTATTGTGAATTTTGCACACAAAATGAATAAGCCTACAAAGATAGCTTCCTGTAAGTAAAGTCCTATGATGAAGCCCAATATCATAGGAATTAACCTGATGTTATAGTTTTTTTTCTGTACTCCATAAGTGGGGTAAGAAAATTTTGTTGCACCAAGACTTGTAACAAGCCAGTAGTTATACAACAACATGAAGATAATGCATTGGTGGAGGGTTGCTCTTACAGCTGAGACTGATCAAATTTATCAATCTGCACTGCAATAACTGCTCATTTAGAAGATGTGCACTAGATAATTAAAAGAAACATGGTTGGTTTTGTTCAGCTCTCCCAGTGCATGAATCTGTATTGATTTGCAAGAACGATAATAAACGAGGGCCACTGTCAGACACTATCCTACAATTCACGGGAGACACTTCCCTGCCAATACATGCAGTGTGATGAGCACCTCAGTCTCTCAGCAGTAGATAGTCTTTGATAGTCTCTGGTAAAGGAAGCTCTTTTACAGCAGTGGGGAGGAACTGCACTCCGAGACTCTGCCGGACAGCACAGCGTGCCAGAGAGCGCAGCGTGGGAGCCTGAGCCACCATGTTGGTCAGCCTTGCCAGAAGCTGGGGATCTTTATTCAGCTCCCTGGGAAGGGTGCCGTCAGCCCGTCGGATCTCAAATCGCCCTGCTGCCCGGCACAGCAGCTCAAGGCACTCCTCCTCCTGTTCAGTGCCCAGGCCCCGGGCCAACAGAGCCACTAGTCGGGAGATAGGGGTCTGGCCCTTCAGGTTGGTCACATGGACCTGGGCTCCATAGTCTAATAGCACTTTGACACTCTCCAAGTTGCCTTTCATTGCTGCCCAACTCAAAGGAGTGTCATTGTTGTAGTCCCGGGCATTGGGACAGGCCCCGCTCTCTAGCAGGGCCCTCACACACTCTGGGTTATCTTTGAAGGCGGCCCAGTGAAGTGGAGTGTCCTTGTTGCCATCCAGGGCATTTGGCTGGGCCCCATACTCCAAGAGTAGCTCCACGCAGCTCTCATCCTTCTCTGCTGCATAGTGCAGTGCTGTGCGGTTGTATCCATCCAAAGCATTCACCTGTTAAGTAAAGTCAATATATTAAGCAGTCATATGCTAAGGAGTTAACAACACTTTTTAACCGCACAAATACAACTACTACCGCAAAGTGGTAGGTCTTGGGCACACAGACTGTGTGGGCGTCTCCAAGAGCTCCTCTTATTTTGGTTCATATACTGTATGTGCAACAGCACAAAGTGTGAAGGTTCAGGGAGAAGTGGTATATAGATCTAATTGTGTGGCAATTGGGCACCAAGATACTACACAAACTGGCAAAGTCTGATTCAAGGTCAGACATTCCAAGCAGTTAGCACTGTTTGTGCTAATCATTGAGCCGATCATTGATCTGATTATTGAGCTGACCATTCCCCTGATCATTGCACCGTCATGAGCTCTTACAGTTGAAGGGTTGGTTCACCCAAATTACAAAGAACACTTTCAGAGGAACTCCTTTCTACCAAAGATATAATCCCCATTAAAACTGTTCACAGGGATTATCTGAAGTAACAGCAACACTGTTTCTGGGAAAACTTTTACATTTTTACTTAATTTTTCAACACAGTGAGAACCTCACACTAAATTCCATTCATGTCCTTACTATTTGAGTGTAGGTGGAAATCTCAAAGATGGAAATCTCCAATTCTGGACATGTTTAACCAGATCTATCTGTAAGGCTGTATATCATTAGTGGTAACGGAGAACTGTTTTTCTAATTTGGTTAAACTGACCCAAAAAAGACTTTACTCGTAGTTTTGGACATTTTCACCCAGTAACTACGAAAAACATATTTTATCAGCTATCAGTATCAAACACCACTAGTATTATTAAGATTAATGAGTGCAATTTCCTACCTTTCAGGCAGCCACTGGTTTTGTCTCATGACAGCACAGAACTATACTCAGCATGCAGAGATGGATGATTCCTTCAGTGAGCATCATGCTCAGCTTTACTTTTATCTGCAGCTGCATTGTAACTTAGGTTATGAACAAAGACTGTTGTGAAAACACTATTTAACTGGTGTGTTTTAAGTACTAAATGGAAACTTCATCACCTAACACTTGAGAAATGGGTGTCAAATGCCAACCTTTAAATACAAAACCTGTTAAACTGTCATTATCTAATTTCAATTCCATGTTTCATTTTCTAACAACACAGCTTTGCATCAAATTTTATGGCAACCCACTACTACATTTTAGATTTGATTCTTGAACACACCAACAGGAAGAATTTTAAAGATTGCTCTTGCTCACACCTGAATTACCTGACAAAGATAACATATCTTTGGCAAAAATAAAACTGGCCATCATTTTCAGCCAGGCCGATTAAAATGCTCACATGGCTGATTAAACAAAAAATGTATGCAGACACCAAAGACAGAGCCAGGAATCCTATTTAATGTGGCTGTGGAACAATGTTGGAGCTACCCCCTGCATCCCTGGCATCAATTTCGCCATTCCATGAGCAGACATCAATGCTGGATATAACTGGATGTAACTACATTACCAGAGAGAAACGGTAAGACTTAAACTCCTAGCTTTCAAAGCTCAATATAGTTCATTTTTGCCGCTCTTAATAGCATATACAATGTTTGCTGTCTATATAATTACATTTACTGCAGTCTTTAAGTGAGAAAATGCAAATGAAGATAGTGATTCGTGAGTTTGCTGCTTAGGCTGTTCTCTCTCAAGTGCACTAAAACTTTATCTATTTTTCATTCATAAGTTGTTTATTTTTTTTATAAGTTGACCTGTGGACATTTAAGTTAACATTTTTTAATTTAAAATAAGTGCATTGCAGACAGAGTGCAGATCTATTTGCAAACAATGCAAACAACAGTGTTCAATAAATGTTCATTTACGTTCAGCAATTTTGTGTCTAATTTGGTATTGTTATTAAATTCTTGTTTTCTTTCAGAGTCAAAAAAAAAAAACGAAAAAGATGTCAGCCCTAAATATCTGCATCGGCCATTGAAAAACCCATATCGGTCAATCATTAGTTCAGTGTATGCAGGAGTCATCAGTGACATACCTCTGCCCCCTTCTCCAACAGCAGCTCCACACAGTCAGCATCAGCGACCATACATGCACAGTGCAGGGGCTTAAGTGTGCCATGCATCCGGTTCACATCAGCTCCCTTAGACATGGGGATAATGATGTCAATATAACTGTTGACACTGGGAGATTTTATTCATGTAAAGTCGAGCTGGAAGATGAGCAGATGCCTACCTTACGAATGAGATCCTCCACATTGTCGTGTGGGAATGAGCGGATGGCTGCGATGGTGCGGATGAGCCGCTCAGACAAGGAGTATTTACTTTGAATGCTTTGCATGATGTACCACATAGTAGAGCTCATGTGTAACAGAGGACCATGGCACCCGGGCAGGGGTGACACTACGGCACACTGAAATACAAACTGGAGTTAAAAACTGTAAGACACAATGGAGATTCCTCAGCATTAAGAAAAAATTACCAGAATAAAATGAATCAAAAGGCAAATTAAATGAAATGAATAAAAGGCCCCTAGGGTACTTTTAGTTATTCTGGGTAATTAGAACTCTTCATAGGTAGTGGTTAGGGTGTGTGTTGCAGGACTATTATTATTATTATTATTATTATTACTGGTTGCTTTAACACAGAAATGCACTCATAGCATAGTGTGGTGCTCCAAAGTAATTGGCTTTATCAATGGTAATATAAATATGCACATAGAAACCTTTTTAAATTCATGTAAAATTAACTGACACATACTGTAAGTGGCACATAATCAATTTTATTGTGACAAATGATATTGAATATTGAGAGTCCAGAATTAAATGATTATATATTAAAGTTTATTACAAATGTAACTATGTTTAAAGTCCACATAATATGAGTGGGGAAGAATCATGATTTCGAGTGTACTTGTTGATGTTAAGATCAAAATTTCACGTTAATACGTTAATGTATGATGACAATCATGAATAACGGTTTAATAGATTAAAGCAAATTAATCATTTTCCAGTGTTTTCATCACAAACATGTTGGACTGATGAAATACTGTCAGGACACTAAGATCGGACCATGCTGTCCACATAATGCATGCTTGTACTGTCGTTTATTTGAGACCAAATGCCCAATGTTCTTCTGCTGTTGCTACTCACTTGGAGTCGCCCAAGAACTTACTGTCAGCAAAATTATAGCCATGTAAATACCTGAACGTAAACATGACTGACACTGACAGCTAATGTTAGCTCGCTTGAAAAGGACATGCTCCACAACAAAAGAAAAGAAAACACGGTATGCAACAATGATGCACATTTAAAACCAAGGGACTGTTTTTAAAAAACAAATTAAAGTTAATATACAAATCACAAATGCTACTTGGCCAACAAGCAGACGTTGACAATATGGTTTAGAGGAAAAAAATGATCCCCGGCTATATTTTCACCAGCTGCTAGCGCCAAGCTAGTTAGCTAGCGAGCTAACGTTAGCGTTGATTTGCAAGGGACAATCGACACTCGTAGGCGGAAGAAAATAAAATGACATCCATTTTCAAATATTTGTGAGCACTCTTTGAAATGTTCTTCGCATCCACCACCGATAAATGACCGATGCTAATAGGATAACGTACCGTTTTCGGTCCACGGTCTGAAGGTCTGACAGGTTGCCGTACTGACTGTTTGCTTCTCGTTTTGACATAAACAGCCAACAACGTCACCGCTGCGGCCACGCCCTCCTCCTCAAGCCCCTGTTCCTCAGTATTTAAACCCAACTGAACTAACGGTCGCTTTAAACCTCGACAACTTCAATTGACTTCATGTTTTGTGTCGGTACCGGCTGTTACGATGTCTGACTGGAAGTTATGTCTTTGCCAAGTGTACTCATTTCCCCAATATAGGCAGGTAACGTAATGGCAGCACCACAGGCATCCACTACATACCACGAATGCCTTCAGATCATGTCCATGTAAAGAACGGTCGGCACCGCGAGAGACAAGTGGCTTAACAAATCAATTGAAGACTGACGGGTGAGGCAGAGACAGACCCTGGTGGACACAACCAAGCCAAACGACCCACAGACAGACAGTCATATAATAATATTAATAATAATAGTTTCCTATTCCTTCTGGGACTGCGGACACTTGGCTTTGACAGCCAATAATACAAGGGAAACAGGTTGCGGTGGGGCCCGTTATATATTGAATATTAGTCTAGGGATTTAAGACTTATTACTGATTATTACCTTTTCATTATATTTCAGATTAACCTACTCATAATTTAGTCCACAAAACATTTTTGTGAAAACGGCCATCACAAGATCCCAGAACCACGGGATCACTGGTTTCTTTGAACGAAGCTTTGTCTACTTGGTACCCTCATCCGTTTGCATGTTTACAACTTGTGATCAGCTCAACCAAAGAGTGATAACTCATACATTTAATTTGAATGTTTAAAGGATGCAAGTAACAATTATTTTTATAATCGGGTATTATTTAGTCCACAGAATATCAGACACGTCCCTAGTGCCCAACTATCATCGTGGAAACGATCGATTTGTCAAAGAAAGTCCAAAAGATATTACATTTACAGGAATACATTACACATATAAAAAGAAGCCAGTTAGAAACCAGTGTTTTTTTCCTTGATAAATGGCCTAAACGATTACTGTCATCTTGAACACATTCACATCCAGACCTTCATTATCCATTTGCATCCTGACATTGGCAGTTATTTTAATCATTAGGTATTATGACCCAGACGCCATTTTCATTTTTCATTTTTTAATCAATTAGAGCTGAAACAAGCAGTTGATTGATTGATGTCTCAATTTAAAGAAAAAAAAATACATAAATTGGAACTGGTGATATATCAATTTGTCAGATCCTCGGTGAGCCTTCAACCAGCCAATGTAGGGGTTAGTAATAAACAGGCTTAAAACTCACAGAACTGTAACCACATCTGTAAGAAACCCAACTAAACCAAAATGGCACTGTCAAATTTGAGACCCAAAACTAAATTTTTGCTTTATTTCATCTATTACTGACTTTATAACTTTTTCATTTTTGTAGGTCTCTTTGCACTATATGTCTACTTGAAACACACATCACACATGGATGCAGACTAAAGGCAGAAATTACATTCAAAACAAGACAGTCAGAATCCAACCTGACACTGCAACCCAGATGTGTGTCGTCTGTGCACAAAACACAAGATAGCAGAAAGAAATGTGACGCTGGAAAGCCAAATCAAAATAATTTATTTTTGGTGACATTTCATACAGTTCTAGGATTGTGTCTCAAACACTTGGCTGATCCATTACTATATTTCCTTTTGCCACCCCAACCCAAATTAACAGAAAATAACCCAAACATATGAGGGGGGGGGGGGGGAGCAATTCCCATAGGTATTTGCAAGCCTGTCAACATCAATCATATTCTTCTAAAAGGATTTCACCTTACTGATGAGTAAGATTCTTTTTAAAAACAAGTTAGTGCATTTATTTAATTAAACTAAATCACTAGCTGCTCATACTCATTAATGAAAAAGAATTAACAGCCCCAGTGATTGGTTACTCGTTTACTGCATTACTAAACCCAAAGTCAATGCATCAAGTATTTTCTCTCAGCTGACATCTCGAACAGTATATAAATGTCATATGCGTGATTTTATTTTGCCAATGCGATTTCACACAACTTTGGGGAAACCAGCCTACCAAGATTGGGAGAAAAGCGTTGCGCATCAGAATTAAAATAAATAACTTTAAAAAGCAATACATACAGTGAGTCAAACTTCAAATTCTAAGTCAACCTGTTTGTTTTTCCAAAATTAAAAAAGGAAAGAAAAAAAAAACAAAGAAAAAAAAAAAAAAACAAAAAACAAAAACGGCAAACTCACCCTAAAAGCACAAAACAATCTGGTGGATACCTTGCTGTCAAAAGCCTCCCTCTGTAAATTCAGAACTAGAACAATTACATTCTCCCACACACATTTCTAGTGAAGGGTTATTACAATATAGCATAGGCAACTACACTGCTACAGCTTCTTCAAAATCCAGTTTCACTGGGCCAAAAGTTTCCCCAAGACTACATTATTTAGCAGACCTCGTCAATAAAAATCAAAACTTTATACTAGCACACTATGATCGTAGGCAGCTGGCACATAGCACGTGAAAAATTTTCCAATTCTCTTTATACCCACGACTCGGCTGCCAAATATTATGTAGCTATCATCCTTAACTAACAGCACTCCTCAGTCTATTTTTTTTGACACTATGCCATTGTTAAGAACAATTCACAGATATAAGCTTAACCTGGATATCCTGTGATGATGTAGAAAAGCCAAACCTCACCTAAACCATCAGGCGCACTGAACAGTCATATCTTACCATTAACCTATTTGTTTTTTTTCTCATGAAATACATCACCCTAATACCCAAACAAACATGTAAACAGAGAACCTGACTGATTATCAACATGACAATAATCTGAATCCATTGGAGTGGGTACACCCAAAACATTTCAGATAGATAGCAAAGATAAAACTTAACATGAAAAACTTTGGACCAGGCTAGCAGATTCACCTTGGCTAACAGGCCATTGAGCACCCCAAAGTGGATTTCGGCTTCAAACAAAACCACACATCTGACTGCGGCATACAACAGTTTCTGATATCTGACTGTTACAGTTGTAGCCAATCATGAACCAGGATCAAAATACCACCATAGAACACATTTCATTAATATACATTAGAAGACCACACTGTCCAGTTTCAGGACAATGATTCTTAATCTCTGATGTAAAAATCAAAAATCATCCATTTCATTACATCAGTGCAACAGCACACTGTAGCACTTCAATCATTTTGTTTAACAATCAATGCATACACAGACATCAGTCAACCCTTCAGTCATACTTGCAACCCTAAGCACACGAAAAGAAAAAAAAACAACAAAAAACTGATGTCTCATTGCGTGTTAGTGATATCTTTGTATATGTACATGACAAATATGCATGTTCTTTTCTTCTTAGTGCATATTGTTCTTGCAGACCAACATCTATTCTTTAAAATCAAAAAAAAAAAAAGGTAGAGGGCCATTTACGCGGCCCAGCATCCCACCTCTCCCTAGCAGAGCATAAATGAGATGGCCTCCAGGTAAATCGCACTTAAATTCTGTTAAGCATAATGCTGGAGGCCAAAACAAGATTTTTGTCTCCTTTTCAAATCACTTTTCAAAGTTCTTCAGGTGTCATTTTGCCCATTAGTCCTGGATGTCCCGGTCTTATTGTCGTTTTAAAAGCTTTTCATTGGACAAGTTCCAGGGGGGAAGGTGGCTACCATAATGTTGTTGCTTTTATGTTATTCATTTTTATATAATTATATATATCCATGTATATATTCATACATCTTTTTTCTATTCATATCAAGTTTTTACTTTGGCGATACTGGTGGGATATTCTGCTCTTTGCCAGTGTGCCTGTAGCCTCCCTGGGGGGAGCTGCGTCGGGCCGGAGGCGGGCGCCTCTGGTCCCGGAACTTGAGGCCCCCAGTGCCTCTGGGGCCATTGCTGCGGTAGTAGCCTTGAGAGTCACGTTCACGTGGTGGCCGGCTCTCCTTGCATTCCCACCCCCCCTCCCTGTCGTGGCCTTTCTCATGCTTGTCTCCAGGACCACTGCTGGAGCCTGGCTCCTCGGCCTTGTTCACGCGCAGCTCACGCAACGGCTGGCCTGATGCGGTGCTGGAGGAAGCTGGGGCAGGGGCCGCAGGAGGAGGGTCCTTGGGTGGTCGCTGGCACACCTCGGCGTAGCTGAGTTTACGTGGCTCCTGAACAGAGGCAGAAAAAAAGCGCAGTTTTAAAAAAAAAAATTGTAGCGCACAATCCCATTTATACATTCATTTTCGCGATTCGTCTTGTGAAACCCTCAGATCTCATAATCTTAACGCTCATTGGGATGGGAGTGTCTTTCTGGACATGTGGTGGGAAAGGTCAGAGAGGGGGAAAAAAAAGACAGAATCGGAAGGAGAGTGACAGATAGAGAGGAGAGAGAGAACCACAGCCAGTCAGTGCACCACCTCACTTCCCTCTATGCGCAAAAGAGCTCATCATCGGGGCAACTATGCTTAAAAGTCGGCCATCATTGCAAAGAACCAGATTCTCACCTGTGCAGGGGTGGGGATAGTGGCTGCAGCAGGGGCCGGCGTGCTTGGTGTCACTGGCGTGGAGGCAGCAGAGGGCTGAGGCCTGGAGCTAGGCAAAGGCTGTGTGGAAGGGGAGGCGTTGACAGTAGTCTGAACAGGTGGACGTGGAGTCGCTTTAGGAGCTGGGACCTCTGCCCGTTCAACCCTCTTCTCCTGACGAGTGATGCTGTCAGAACAACAGTTTCAGACATACAAGTTAATATTCTAAGTTTAACACAGGGATCTGAGTCCTAAATATCCTGAATTAAATTGTAAATACTGAGAAAGTCGTACCCAGGGGCCGAGGGTCCAAGTGGTTGTGTAGCAGATTTTGCTGCTGCCGGGGCAGGACTTGAGACAACCACAGCCTCCTCTGTAACTGAGGCTTGGCCTGAACTTTGACTCACAGTGGCTTCTTTATTGGCTTGTTCTGTCTATAAAAAAACAAGAAGGCATGTACGTTACATCTCCTCTGAAGTCATCCTCTCAACAATCCTTTCAGTGCAATATATCCGAGAGATTTAGAAACTCTTAGTCTCGGT